GATCTTTTGAATATTAATTAACAAAAATACTGAGAACTTCTATTGATATAATTCTAGGTAACAGAAATTGTTGCTTCAGAACTTTTAACATCAAAACCTATGCCAAATTTATCTATCGTTGTAACACATAATTCACTACTCTCGCCAACAATTATGGCTTCTGTTTGTCCTCGACAAACAAAAGGTGTAACTTGCCGTCATTTATTAGCTTCAGAGGATCACAGTGTTGCGCTGCTACAGCATAATAAATTAGTGTGGGCTAGGGAAGAAGCACTTGCTAGTATTGTAGCAGTGGAGATTATAGAACTACCTATGTCAGATAGAGATCAAGAAATAGAAACAGAATTCGATCAGAAAGAGAGTAAGTATAAACTATAATATATGCTTATCATATTTTTTAAGGCACAGCAAACGTTATGATAAAATAAATTAAATATTTTTGTATAAGATCATTAAACGAGATATTAAAAAATAATATTATAAAAATTGATAATTATAATATTAAAGATTCACATTGAGATTTGTAATAAGTGTCTATCTGTTATAAGTAATTTAATTGCAACATTTCTTATATTTGATATAAATATTTTGATATTTGTCAGAAGTAAATCATTTTTTAATGCAAGTAAGTAGTACTTGTATAAAAGTAATATTCTGATTAAAAACTATTTGTATTATTGTCTTCATTTCTATATTATTACTTAGAAAGTATTAAACAGCTTAATGTTACAGTTTAATTGTAACACACACAACAATAACTAAATCACATTATATATTCTCAACTTATATCTTAATAAGAAAAGTATTAGTTATGTTGTATTAATTACATTTCTTTTGTGAATGGCTGCTGGCAGGTATTGATGTAGACAGTTCATGTAAGTAGTGGAGCAGCAAAGGCTGGTTTGAAAATTACTTTATTCCTGCTGTTTATTAGTCTTATAGGCACGTTAATTTTCTTTAGAAGCTCAAGAAAATATAAACGAATTAAATGCAGACTAGTAAATATTTTTATCTTTGCTATTTAAGAAAGTTCCTACAATGTTATTATTTGCATGACAATATAAAGTATATTAATATAAACTTTTTTAATACAACAGTATGTTTAAATTTGCCTTACAAATAGAATATTGAAGCACTATGCATGAATGATAAAAAAAGATAATAATTATTATTATACTTGTAAATTTAATTGTGCTTTACTGTAATTTTTTATTAACATATATTATTAATATTGTAGTTGTTTGTTAGGTTTGCAGTTAAAAAGTTTGTTGTTCCTTTGTTTTTTATGATAAATATGTTATAAAAAAATAATTTACAATATTAATATTACACATTTGACATATTTTATAATTTTGTGTTATATCTAGGGGATGTATTGAGCATGATGTTTAGAAGAGTCAGTTCTCAACTTAAACAAGCAAGAACATTCTTCCAATCCATATTAAGTCTCACACCTCAACAATCCAATCAACGTACTGATTTAGTACGAGATAAATTTGGTTTACATAAAATGATTGTCCTCGTTACATCAACAGGAAAAGTATGAAAATAAATATACTTACATTGATTAATTAACATATATTATATACATTTAGTTCAAAACATACATTTAATGTTAATCCTTGATTTTATATATTTATAGTTATATGGTATTGAAACTAGAAAAGGTGAAATTATTTGGCAACTTAGGGTACGAGGCATTCGAGGTTTCAATAAAAGATCTGACGCAATAATTTTATACGTACAACGTGGTAGCAGACATTTTCCATATCCGCCACAATGTGCGTTATTGGCAGAGGATAAAGTATGTATTGTATGCATTAAAACATTAATTCAATATAAATAGATCTCTTATTTGATTTTAAATATTTTAGCAAACGGGAGAAGGAATTGTATATACTTTTAATCCGATTACTGGACAACCATTGGATGGTTTAATAAAATTAGGATATAGAATAAAGCAATCTATGTTACTTCATGTAACGACAGATGATTTTCTGCGAGGCATACTTATTTTTGACACACGAGATAAAGCTCATGTATATCCTGAAGGTGCAACTGCAATTGCTGCATCACTCGCTAAAAATACATATATATTTACTGCTGATCAAACAACTGGAATATTGTCTGGATATTCTTTATCATATAGTACAGCTCAAGTATGTATAAGCTTATTTAGCAAACTTTCTAAATATTCATCTTAATTTCATCCTTTAGGAACTCATTTCTCATAAAGTATGGGAATTACTGCTGTCACCAAAAAACCAAAGAATAACACACGTCGTATCGAAAAATCCAATTGAACGTGTTCATTCCCAGGGTAGGGTTCTAAGTGATAGATCAGTTCTATATAAGTATATTAATCCTAACTTAGTCGCAATTGTAACTGAGGGTGTTGGACGCACTCATAAAGGTACGTTTATTATGCTGCTGTATAAGAATATTGTAATTATTGAAGTTCCATATCATATATATAACTAATTTAAAAATAATTCACGACTTACAGATACGCTTAATTTATATTTATTGGACGTGGTGTCTGGAGCAATGATATTTTCTATTATGCACAAGAGAGTTCGTGGTCCAGTCCATGTTGTGCATTCAGAAAATTGGATAGTGTACAGTTATTTTAACGAAAAGAGTCGTAGAACAGAAATTGCTAGTTTAGAATTATATGAAGGAAAAATACAGAGTAATACCACAGGTATTGTTCACGCCATTTTTTATTATAATTATGTTGATTCATATCCTTGTTCTTGTTTATATTAAATGTTATAAATTCAATATCTTATTCTAGTGTTTTCATCGTTAGCTACAACTAAGTTGCCAATTGTAGAAAGACAAGCTTTTATTTTCCCAGCAGCAATAGAATCTATGCGGGAAACTATTACAGAGAAAGGTATCACGAGTAAACACATCATAGGTATGTATATGAATTGTATGACTAATACTTTATAATTAGTACTATAGTACTGTACTAATAATTTATAAATAGGAAAACATAATTGTTTATAAATTACTTTTTATACGTATTAGTGGCCCTAGCTAATGGCGGAGTATTGGAATTACCGTGGATGATGGTAGATCCACGGCGGCCTATTAATCCCGAAATACGCGAAGAAGGTGTCATACCATATATGCCAGAAATACCTATTCATATGGATGCAATAATTAATTATAACCAAAGCGTCTTTAGGGTTTCCGGCATTCATACTAGTCCTAGTGGCCTTGAAAGTACTTGCTTAGTTTTTGTACACGGTCTTGGTAAGTACTTTGAGATACAACTTTGCTTTACCGTAACTTTATTAATCACTGAGGGACTAATACATTTAACCCATTAGTAATGTATTACAATTAGAAAATTACAAGTAACTATGCATGTAATACGATGTTCGCAGACTTGTTCTACACACGTGTGGCACCGTCTAAAACATTTGACGTTTTGAAAGAAGATTTTGATTATTATCTTATTGTGATAGTATTGGCAGCGCTTTTAATTTCGTCGTACATCACAAAGAAACTAGCATCCCAGAAAGCGCAAAAGCAAGCATGGAAATGATGTTTGATCTTTCTAGAGAATCAATACATTACATTCTTAAATATTTGTTCACTAAAAGCAAGACGTTTTGCTAATAATAATTTGTAAAAAAAATACTGTTTTATAAAAAAACAATGTTACTGCAAAGTGAATGTTAACAATTTATTATCTTACCTAAGTATCAGAATATATACATATATATATACATACATATATATATATATGTATTATTTATCCTTTTATTAGTACAGGACGCACACAATAGATAACATATTTCCGAATATTTTAAAGTGTGCTAATCATCGTATGACAACAGTGGACCAGGATCACTAATTATTAGATTATTAAAGTAACTGACAACATGCTCAAAATATAGTTATTTTTCGTTAAAAAAATACAAAATATAGAGTTACATATTTCTTTAATATACGTACACCTATATTATGTAAATTAATTTTAATAGAAAATTAAGATAAAAATACCAAGAATATTTTAAATTATTAATTTATTTTGTCATATTTAATATTCCAATACTGGAAAAACTAACATTTTCGAATACATATTTAGAAATAATATTTGCAAGACATATTATGTCAATTTAAATTTGCATATTAAATTAAACAGTTTCCCTATCACCCGAAAATTACAAATTCGTCAAGTTTAAAACTCATAATATATGTATATATGTTATTCTAAGGACTATATTTTATAGTTCTTTCTTGCAAGAATCGAAATATTATCATGTAAGCATGTAATGAGAAATGTATATAAATGTGCATATACATAAATGTGTACTTACACAGTCTTGTATACACAATAATTATACAAACATCTTTACGATATTGTCTGGTTTACTTCCCTTTTCCTTCCTCTTTGTTTGTGACTACAACATGGAAAAGAATTTCGATGCATTTTCTTAATTAACATTACGATAACGTAATGTTTCCTTAAACGTTATGATAACGATAACAAACGGAGGAAAAGAATGGTAGAAGAAAACATTAAATATATTTGCTATACTGAAACAATTACTTTTCCAATTTTACCATTATGGCGAGTAATACTATCTTATTAATATTTACAATAATAGTTATTTTATCGCTTCCCCTCTCCCTTACTCGCTTCCTCACTCATCCACTCGCACAATCAGTTTTAAGCTACAATCGTCGTAGATTTAAGATGTATCAATTATTTAGATTTAATATAAATCAATGCATCGAGTTACGGCACTCATTATCAGGATCGTGTTTAAATTGCGGCTACAATCGTAGCTCATTTACTAAGAAGGTAACTATAAATTCTATCTTCTATTTGAAACCTACTTGAAACAACTTTGATCTCAGCGCATACTGATCATTCCTGCCACAATGCCCAAAATCATTGTTTCCGTAGCAGCGACGTGTATACTAATAATAATAATATGTTTGCAACGTGACCGATTTTTCGAACGTATTGTATTTTCTGCAGCGACTACGCAAAGAATGAGATGATCGTTGAGCAGATATTTTTACACCATTGTCGATACAGCCATGATGATCGCGTTAACATTTTTTTCAAACATCCTCAAATACGCGTTTCTCTAAACATTTTCACTCGTACACCTATATATCAAACACTTATTGTTATGACGTATCGCAATAGTTACTTATCATACTTCGGGAGCTTGCACCTTTTTACTTATAGATTTGAATCAAGAAAAGTCACATAGAATCTTCATCGTTGTACAAAAATGATCGATCATTGCATAATCCGAAGTAGAAAGAAAGAAAAAGAAGGCAATACTATACCAGTGTTTAAAGGATATCATAGAAAGATAATTTTGTATATAATTACCCACCGATCCTCTTCGTTTTAATGTAGCCTTTACTAATCTCTAAAATCATTCTCTACATGTATTGTATGATGCGATAATTTTTTAATATATCGCAACTTGCTTAGGATCTTATTAACACATTCAATGCGGCACACAAAATCGAAGGGGATCTCTAGTGGCAGAAATCGATTTTTCTACAACATGTATCCATTTATTCAGGTGCCATCCGCAAAAATATAAGAAATTCCCATGGCGCGTACGTTCACGTCTTACGCATGGAATGTGTTAATATTACGTATACACGTGTATACAAACGTACATAAAAACTGTTACCAGCAAAAGATTTCTTCAATTCGTAGACACTATGTTGATCGTACGTTTAATTCAGTAATTTTTAAGCTGCACGTGCAACTATCAATTTTAATGTAGTATATGTAGTATATGTATATGTATATAATTGTCAAATTTATACATATACTAACTTGCATCGCGATGTCAATTTACTTGGTAACGCGTGCTGGAGAAAAGGAAGGGGGTGGGCACACGCGCGCGTTAATGAAATAAATTCAAAAATATTTTCTCCATTCGTATTCCATTACATGTTCGGTGTTCGTTTTCTTTATGCCATTACTTACGATGTATAGCATACAACATAATTCGGTATTTCTCTCTCTTAAGATTGGCTTTTTGTAAAAGTAGTATGTAGATTAGAAGATGCATAACATAAACAATCAACAGAAAGTTAATTAAAAACGTGTATCATTGACATTGTACTTCTATTCTACGAAATATTGCATCGTTTCTATGATCTGACAGATCATAATAATAATAGTAGCGGTAGCAACAGAAGTAGTGTAGTAGTATAGTAGTAGTAGTAGGACTAGGAGTAGCGTAGCAAGAGTAGGAGTGGTGGTAGTAGTAGTACTAGTACTAGCAGTAGCAGAAAGCTATTCAAGCATAGTGAAAACACATAGCTACAAAAATAGATACATCAGCTTTCTTTATTCGACTCCTTTCTCCTTTTCCCCCACTGTCTTACCTTTTTATTTACTCTTATTTATTTCTCTTTTTATGGTATTCCATTTTTTCACAGAATTCAAGAGTTTGATTAAAATTATATATATTAATTACATATATTGATTAAAAAGATATATATTAGCAACATTGATCCAGCGTATGATTTTAATTGAAAGGTAAATATATATAGGAGATTGTTCTTTGAAGCAAAGATTCTCCAAATGGAGCGAGAACCATAACAGAATATATTTTTTGAATCGTTACAAGGATGGAACGAAATTTTGTTGCTTATCATTTCGATCGCTAACTACAGCTACGTACGATACGTACGCACGATATTATATACAAATCACATAGCGTTTTATACATGTACAATAAAAAGGAAAAAAGGAGAAGAAGCAAAAGGGAAACTGAGAGGAAAGGAAAGTTGATCGCATGTGATAACAGAGAGTGTCAGTATTACAAAATGTAAATCGATGCAAATATCGACAAAATACATCGTTTTGTAAAGTTTACTCTCTCCGTGCTTTGCACTTCGCTTGAAAATAAATGAAAAAATGTAACCGTCGAGTCTCTACGCGGATCGATGTCGATATAATGTCCTTCCGACAGGTGTGATAGACTCACGGTAATTTCTATTCACATTATTTTCGAGTCTCAAGTGAAAGGATTGCTTCTCCTCTTCAACGAACCGAATCGTTTTTCAGGTTCTCTTATTACTTCGAACGGCGCGATTTTCGTATTCCTAATCTGTCTTTCCTCGTTCTCGTCGCTCGGAAAATCTTCGAAGCTCATGTTACTGAAACCAGCAGCTGTGCTAACGACAGAACATTTTTTCGCTCTTGGTGTTTTTTTACCGTAACAAGTCGACTTACTTTTGTGAGTTAGCTTCGACGATGACAGTACATCGCTAATATCGCTATGAATCTCACTGATCAAATGATATTTCGACTTCTCCGATTTATTAGATTTTTCTCTTTTATGTCTTGGCATATCGTGGTGATCGTCATCGGTAACAACCAACGGTTCCGGTGACATGGGTGAAACAATATCCGACGCAACATCTGGTTTCGATACACTGTTCATCGTTTGAACAGTGATTCGAGCAGTATGATGAACCGATTTAATCGTGTATACCTCTTGTAAGGTAGATGTTGCTCGATCAGAGATCGGCGGTTGTGCTTTATCTAATAGCATCGCGTCTAAATTTTCGCCAACGAAACCCGGCTCCTGTGGCTGCGACTGGCGCAGTTGCGTCGATGACGATGACGATGACGATAATTGAACAAATGGTATGCGAGTCTCCGATCTCTTTTTTTCTTCGTTTAATTGTAAAGATGCGAATTCGTCGAACGGAATGGAACCAAAAAGATCTTTCGAAGCATCCAAAAACGTACGCGAATAATCGCTATTCGCAGAGACATCGGTAAATTTAGAGTTCAATACTGTTTTTGTAGTCGATGATGCTGCCGCTGCAGCAGTAGTAATAGCTTGTTTCAAATGACAAACGTTCGGCGAAGATTGCTGGGCTTGAATGGGATGAACAGACACTTGAGTATAATCATCGTACGATTCTTCTTGATTCGCAAACGTCATTTTTGCCGATTGTTTCGGTGTTTGCTCCGTAACGTTTCGTAAACTGTTAAAATCAAATGAATTTATTACAAAACTACTCGGACTAAACGGCGATGAACCAAATAAATCTTTCTCTTTATTTTCTCCTTTTTCTTCTTCCGTTTCTTTCTCTTTCTCTTCGATTATCGCTACTCTCGCTTTATCTTCTTCTTCATCTTCTTCTCGGTCTCCTGCTCCTCCCGCTTTAATCTCATCATCTTGATCCATGTCCTTTATTTGATTCTGCATCGTGTTCCTTTTCCGTTCAGAGTCTCGGCGAACAATCGAGATTGCCTTAGTAACCGGAGATCGTTGCGTTTCTCCGGATAACAAGTCGATGTTCGTGAATCCCTCTGTTTTCGTGACATTTGCACACTTCCAGGATGAATTACATCTTCCTGTAGAAAGCAACTTGTTCTCTACATCCGTCACCGTCTCGGATGGAACCGTCACGTCGAAGATAGCGGGAGCTACGTTTTTAAATTGATTACTCTCTTGAAAATCGTTACCTTTTTTCGAATAGCTGGACGACTTTGGAAACGGAGCTAACGCGAAAACGTCCTTGTCGAATTTCCATAATACGTCGCTCAGGAGTTTCGTCTTCTCGATTCTCTTTGACGAACCGATGTCGTTGAACGACTGATAATTTGACCCATACCGATCATCCATAACGAATGGATCGCCATAAGAGTAATCGAGTTTCGGTTCCGGATCAAGTTCGTCATCGAGCAAAAGAGGCTTCTCTCCATATTGATGGCCGACAACTGGATCCGTATTTACCGGACTAATCGACGATCGCTCTTCTCGATAATATCTCTTCGACTTTTTCGTTCTGTAATCTTGTTCACTCGTATTAACAACATTTCTTTCCGAATGATGAAGAGAACCACAAACTCTATATATACCATCCGGAGTTGTTTCGTTTATCCCCTCATATTTTTCATCGTTTTCATTAGTTCTTTTTTCGTTGTCGTTGTCGTTATTGTTATCATCTATGTCATCGTTATCTTTATCGTCGTCTTCCTCTTCCTCTTCTTCCTCCTCCTCCTCCTCTTCCTCCTCCTCCTCCTCCTCTTCCTCTTCTTCTTCGTCTTCGTCCTTTTCAACTTCCCCTTCCTCTTCTTCTTCTTTCTCTCTTCTTTTATTTCCTCCTTCTGTTTCTTCCTTTTTCATACTCTCTCCCTCCTCCTCCACCTCCTCTCCTTCCTCCTGTATTTCTCCTTTGTTACTTCCGTTTCGAATATTATTATGCTTTCTGTACCCATCAGCGCCGATACCATTCAATTTAATGGCGCTGTTACAAATACTTTGATTACGCCAGTTATTACCGAGCGTCCTCGAATTACCAGCCGAGCCTGTCGAATCACCCACGACTTTGTTCGCATTCTGCGTTTTCCTCTTCCTGCGTATCGCATTCTTCGCCCTTTTTCTCTTCTGTTGAATTCGCTCTTGCGACAAATCTTTGTCGCTATCGCTGGATACGTCTCCAGCGTTGAACGTTAACTTTTCGTATTTGGACCGATCTTCTAGAGGAACCCGAACGAATGGCGGAGAAATAGGAGGATTATTTCCTGTCATCCTGTGGTCCAGTTCGGGGCGCTCGAATCCCGGGTTCCATTGTTTCGGTGGTATTCTTGGTCTACCGTTTAATTGCGACTTGCCTGAAAAACAGAATGTGTCCATAACTTGTGTTATCGTATCTTTTCTAATTCTAACAACTTTCGTCGCGACTCGACAACATATCGATTCATACATTTCCGTATTGTAATGATGTCAGTCTGGCGAAAGGAACAAATAAACAAAAAGAAGAGGAAAGAAAAGAAGAGAGAAGAAAAGAAAAAAAAAAGAAGAAAGAACGATAGCAGCAAGATAATTGATATTTCTTACCAATAGAGTCATGTACATAATCGGCATTCATAGTTTCTTTTGCTAAAATCGTCCCGTCACCCACGTTTCTGTTTAAAACAGCAGAAACTAACTTGTACTTACCTACATATACATATATGCGCAAATATGTTAGAAACCATTTAACGTAATACCAATACATTCTAATTGTATCGTTATTTCGATTCGTACATGTTATCAACCTCTTAATATATCATTCATAATGATGAAAGATAAACGGAAACATCGCGCTTTGCAATCCTACTGCTTCTTAAATTACACGTTCGATATATATATATATATTTGCTATTGCCTTTCGCATAAAACAATTTCATCCATCTTACTACGAAGAAAACAATCAAATATTTTAAGTGGTTTGTATAATAAAGAGTCATATTAGGCCTATTCTGTGTCTGATTAGGTCTGTTACAGTCGGTGCACTGTACTTCTAAAACGCTTAAACGTACGTTAAGTACTCCTTACAAGACACCAGATACACTAAAAATTTTATTTTCTTCGTTCCTTTTCTTTTATCTGCTCTCTTCCTCCTCCCCTCCTTCCTCTCTCCTGATCATCCTTCTTTTTCTCCTTTTTTTCTCGGTATCAGCCCCGCTTCTATTTTGCAACTGTCCCTCATTTTTCTATTTTAGACAACGTTAATTGCTACCATCACCGTGTTACTTCATACCGTCACCATATGGTCTGGAACAGTCCTAATCAGATTCAGGGGGTTAAGGATAATATGTAAGAAAACGCAGTAATGATCTTTGTGTCAAGGTAACATGATTCAATGATATATTATTGCATGTGTCTAGCATAAAAGCGATCAACCCAATACTAGCAGCGGTACTGCGATCAGTTATGTTATCATTTTTCTACATGTAGAACGAAATAGAGTTGCTCCACGGACAAAGAATTGCTGCGTTTTACATTCGAAAAAAACAATAGTCCATACACTATATGGTAATTTACATGTTTATTGCTGTAACATTATCTTAATACAGCGAATACGAGATGTCCAAGATTGTCAGCCTCCTATGGTGCTCTCGAGTTACGTGCTCGTCATTTGGCATTCGTGATTAAAATGCATGTAAATGCATAGTGCGATTCGTTATATTGCGTATTGAATGGATGGATGGATCAAAGCAAATGTATCGGAACAATAACAAATTGAATCATATTGTGTGTCATCATTATCATCACAACAATCTAAAACTTAGATCATATACACAAATCTTAAACGGAAGACACAGAGACACAATGGAAGGCAAACGACACGGGACAAATTCTTCTTTTTTAATGACTCTTTACGAAGAATAGTACATTACTGTATGTGAACGTATAAACTGATAATTCAGTGAAAATTAATTATATATGCCTCCCAAACTCATTAGGGTGTTCCAGACAGTGAGAAATAAAATACAAATATGTACGAAGAAAAACGACAATTACGAAAAAATATTCGGAAAAAAAAAAGAAAAAACCTATCGAGAAGAATTTTTATTGGCTTTGAATGGTAATGACGTGGCAATAAAATATCACGTTAAAGAAACATTTCGATCAACTATATACTGCTATTCTATTTACATCTTAATATAATCTGCAGTTCGTGAAGACAAAAATCAGCGAAATACTTGCTCGGAGTCACATACGTGCTTATCAAACGATACGATCAGACATTTTAGCTATACAAATAAAGAAAAAATACTTGATGCTTCTCCATTAACATTAGTTAAAAACGAAAAGCAAGACGCAACTACCTACAAGGCTTATGGTAGAACTATCATATAAATATTCAAAATACCGATGTATACGCGGAAATACAGATATGTACTACGTGTTTCCACAAATTATGAAGAAAATAAGGAGAGATGTAAGCAAGAAGTAAGTAAGTGGGGAAACAGAAGATTAAAGACAAGAAAGAAAATAGACAGCGTGAGCAAAAAGAAGGATAAGTACGAGAATAAAATTTACAGAAGGAAAGGAACGTTACACAGACAAAAATAGAGAGAAATGTATCAAAGAAATAAGAAAACATGAAACAAAGTGAAATTCAGTATGTGAATACTTAGTGTGGAGTTGTTAATCGATTGTTATATTCTTATACGTAGCTGTATATACAGAAAAGCAATCTAATAAATATATTTTATAGTAGAACTCCGTTTATATGAACAGCCGATTATATCACGAAATTTTAATTACATAATGCCTAATTACATAAACTTTTGCCGAATAAATCTACTCATGTGAACGTAAATTCCTATTATATATAAATGAAAAAACATATATAACGAGAAACATCAGAGAACTCCTATTATCAGAATTGCTTTTCCTATGTTTATACGACAGATTCACTCATAAACCAAGTTCTACGGCATATATATATATATATATATATATATATATATATATATATATATATATATATATATATATATATATATATATATATATATATATATATATATATATATATATATATATATATATATATATATATATATATATATATATATATATATATATATATATATATATATATATATATATATATATATATATATATATATATATATATATATATATATATATATATATATATATATATATATATATATATATATATATATATATATATATATATATATATATATATATATATATATATATATATATATATATATATATATATATATATATATATATATATATATATATATATATATATATATATATATATATATATATATATATATATATATATATATATATATATATATATATATATATATATATATATATATATATATATATATATATATATATATATATATATATATATATATATATATATATATATATATATATATATATATATATATATATATAGGAAAGGAAAGAAATAAAAAAAAGGAAGAAAATCGAAAAAAGAGAAAAAGAAGAAGAGAAAGGATTCCCTCGCCTCTTTTCGCTTACTGTTAACTCACCGCGTTGGTTGACAGTTTCCTAATACTTCCTAATTTTTTCATTTTTCCGATTTGTTTGTGCTTTAAAACCAAAATACTATTAATAGTAATAATACGTGTCCAATAAAGGATGAATGAGATGTATGAATGAAAAAAAATCGATAACTACCCGCAAATTCATGTAAAGTCATTCACTGCACTCTTAACTTCACGTAACCCCTTCTAAATTGTACACTATGCGGATCGAAGTTTGTTAAACTAGTAGATAGATAATATTACACACACTATGTTTTTCAATACCATATAAATTTGTCTTTTGACATCGTGAAACATGTGTCTCTTGATGTACGTGCACGCTTGCGTGTATATGTATATATGGCTATGTATACACATATTTATAGAGTTATAAATCTCTCATTCGTTATTTAGTCTTACGAAACTGTAGGAAAGAAATAAAAAAAAGGAAGAAAATCGAAAAAAGAGAAAAAGAAGAAGAGAAAGGATTCCCTCGCCTCTTTTCGCTTACTGTTAACTCACCGCGTTGGTTGACAGTTTCCTAATACTTCCTAATTTTTTCATTTTTCCGATTTGTTTGTGCTTTAAAACCAAAATACTATTAATAGTAATAATACGTGTCCAATAAAGGATGAATGAGATGTATGAATGAAAAAAAATCGATAACTACCCGCAAATTCATGTAAAGTCATTCACTGCACTCTTAACTTCACGTAACCCCTTCTAAATTGTACACTATGCGGATCGAAGTTTGTTAAACTAGTAGATAGATAATATTACACACACTATGTTTTTCAATACCATATAAATTTGTCTTTTGACATCGTGAAACATGTGTCTCTTGATGTACGTGCACGCTTGCGTGTATATGTATATATGGCTATGTATACACATATTTATAGAGTTATAAATCTCTCATTCGTTATTTAGTCTTACGAAACTGTTATTTTAACAGAAAAATTAATTATGTCTATGCACGTATACCTGTAATACGCTAATTAAAATTACAGTTTACTTAAAGATTACAATGCATCGCATTTCTTGACTATAACGTGTACAATTCGTTAAAAGGGATAATATGTAACAACGAATGGATATTGTAATATACATTTACTCTCCGTCTCAATTCCGTATTTAACCTATGTATATTTCTATTTGGAATCTCTCAAATTTATCATTCGAGTTATATGTATGAATAAACATTGAAATTTGTTTCGGATAGGTATATACATATGTACATAAATACGTACATAGTTGTGTAATTTCATGGCATAAAAATCAAATTAAAGTATACTGTAACACATATTGTATGAACAATTGAAAACCGAGTATCGTGAAATTGTTTCTAACGTGAAATATTTTATTACGGACAGTACTATCGCCACCATTTATTAAATTCTTATATTTGTAATCTTTTTACTTATCTACAGATATACAACCACGAGAAACACCATTCGATACACTTCAAGTGTATTACTTAATAAACACATGAATAATACAATAATACATCAGATAGCAGCAACGATCGCGATTAGCATCTCACAAATTTTCCCCTTCGAATGCACACAACGAAAAAGTGAACTCGACATCAACGTATCAAATATGTAATATTATCCCTTTCCGATTATCTTTAAAACCCTTCGTTAAATATAGCAACATTGGAATTCTCTCTGTGTCTCGCACACATCAAAATCAAATTTTTCACCTTGTATATAACAATAACCATCATCGATACTTATCAACAGCGATCTTTACAATTTTTACACACGTTTCTCGTGTAATGTATCAGTTTTTCTTCCTTTAACGATTCATCCTTGCCTATACAATAATATTATATATTCTACCACCCCTCTCCCTACTTTTCCTCGCGTCACCGTACGTGATAGAACAGACATTTGTCAAAACTTATTCCTCTATCTTTGGTAATTCGAACAATTATTAAAAACACATCTTACAAAAGACACCAATATCGTACAAATTAGAACGTGAATTTTATGTAATCTTTATCTTGGTAATTCGTTAAGTTAGTACGAAATGATGGTAACTTTTATAACGATTATTCATTTATTGTTAGCAATTATAGTTCAGCTTAAAGCGGACTAACTGTTAACTCTGTCTGCAAAGAACCCTATCTATGGGTTCCTAATCCTAACATAAACCCTTGTCGAATATTTTCTAATAACTTCTTTTGCTTTTAATATTCTCTTTTCCCACTTTATCTTTCCTCGTTTCTTTTGTTCTAGAATCGATCATCGTTTCGGATCACTATCCTATTCCTGTATATTGCAAGGAATTTGTACACATTATTGTTCTATCGTTCTATCATGTGCGTCATGACCCAGCTGAAACTAATTTTGTTCTGTACCCGACATTACATACATAGCATAATCATATACATATATATATGATTTCAGAGTATTAACGACAAAACAGAATAAAGAAATTTCTTGTTTTCTGTTATAGTTGTGTATACTTTATCCTTGCTTTAATAAAATCAAATCTCTTTTCCTACATCATCACAAATAATACTTGATCGTTTCTTGAATAGAGAAGCTGTAGTGTAACTCTATAAGAATAATCATGCCCAATTGCATTGCTGCGATCGTCTTCAATGTATGTACACCGAGAATAAGTTATTTTATATTATCCTTTTGCTTTAGATCTTCAAGCATACAAGTCAAGAAAGATGGTAAGTTTGTACACATTGTTTTCCCATGTGCACATTATCTTCTAATAAATTTGTAAGTAGTTAGTAGATAGGTTTAAAACGCGTCTATCTAGGAACATAATTTTTGATAGAGATTCGTCTTTGCAACGTTTGTTCCTCGACGTATCGATATATCATTTTATAAATTACATTATTCGTATCACATTAGACAGCAGATTCGACTTAAGCTAGTCTTGCTATCTTTGACAAAAATCTACATTTAAAAAGTTGTACATAAATGTAAGGAAGAATTATACAGCCCTGAGTATACTATTTAATTACGACTTGGTGGAACGTGATTTAAAGAGTGAGAGAAGGGGGTGGAAGAAGAGAGAAAGAAAAGGAAGATTACGAAATATCGATTATGCTTAATACGCTTACGCACATTACGTATCATTTGTAAAACTCTGCTGTATACAGACTCATAAAGGAGAAAAAGGCAAATGGAATAAGAATGTATACGAAGCAGTCTATGCATTACCTCCAGCAAGTGCGGCAGTCTTTGATCCAATTTTGTTCTTCTTTCCTGCTAAAAAATACGTCAATATGTTACAACTATTTCAAACGAACAACAAAAAGGCATTATAGTATAAAGATGTCAATTTTTTTTAGTATAGAGATGTTAATTTATGTTACAACTAATAGTGATGATTTTTCAAAAAACAGATTCGATTAAAGATGAATTTAATCACAACGTGTACTTACTTGGCAAACTAAAAGGTGCAGATTCAAATGGATCTTCTGGTAATTCTGCATACGTCATAACGAGACTTTCGCGACTTTTTACACCGGCGATGCTTGCATTACTGCCCCTTCTAATTTTATCAAACTCAGCACCAAAAATATGATCTTCCGTTAATTGGTTGAAAGGTTGTACGTCTTCAAACGGATTCCAAGCTGCTACATCCGCACTTAAAGATCTTCCTTCAGTAGCAGTTACGCTTGAAAGTTCGCCCTAATTAGAAACATTATCAACTGTTTAGTGATTTCAAATGTATCAAAATATTTATTGACACTGTATACCCTGTATGTTTTTAAGATGGGTGCTATACAGAAAATAAAAACAATAAATTATATAATTCAAACGATTTAAAATCATTTAATGAACTTAAATAGTAATGAATTCGTGATCCAAAAATGTTTAAATACATTATTAATATAATACATATAATGTAATGTAATAAACATTTTTTCAGCGTATAGTAATAAGAATGGTGATAATAGCAACAATACTGATATAATTAAAATTAAGTAATAGATACCAAATGAACGTTAAAGAAAATTATTAAGACAAATCAGTGCAGTTTATGTACTTACAATACGTACATGCGAAGCACTAGAACCTAGGCAAGGTCTTACACCAGTTAGAACTTCAGGAGTGTTAGCATCTTCTGAACGTGCTTTCACTGAAGCTTCGTACGGTGCTAGAAATTGTGTTGTTTCGCTTGCAAATGCTCTATAGTACAAACAACAAATAAGTGTTTTATAAATTTTGCAAACGTTTCGATATAAATTAGTTTTGTGGAACAAAAAAGTATATACTTACTTATTAAAAGCACTTGTATCGCTAACATTTCTTCTATGACGTACCGAGGAGAGTGTCGGACTATCGGGCGGAGAGGTACTTGAACTTATATTTTGACTTAAACTTTCAGTCTTATTGACTGGTTTCGGTAAAGTTGGTACCATTACAGGAGTAGCTTTATTAGGCCCCGTTGGAGTATTTAGCTTCGATGTTAACGAATTAACAGGCGTAAATTTTGGAGGTGGACAACTAGCAGAAACATTTGCCTTAGGCAGAATTTTAGAAGGTTTAGGAGCGACAGGTGGTGGTATTTTTGCGGGTGGTGGCATAGCTCTGTTATCATCTTTAAACGGATCTGGATAACCTATACAAATATAATAAAGTAAATAAGATACAATCTAATCTAATGAAGAAAAATTTAGAGAAATCTTTGTATATAAATCTTCTTACCAGACGGTGGAAATAGCGCCTCTAGATTTTCTTCATTCACGTTTGTTGCCACTGGTGAATCAAAGTAATATGAACCTACGGTATCTTGAACACTTACAGGAGATCGTCTAATCGTAGAACATTGTGACTGACTCTGTTGTGATTTTTGGATTTGCGACTGATGCGTTCCAAAGGGAACGTTCTGATTAGTCGTAGTACAACAAACTTGAGGCGAAACTTGAGTGAGCGTTGACACTTGATGAGTAGATGGTTGAGAGTTCACTGGTAATGGCTGAACACTTGCTTGCATATTTTGTCCTAAGTAAGGTTGTGACGCGTTTAACGAAGCAAGTTGTTGACCCATTTGAACATATGAAATCGTATTTCCTACAGAACTTTGCGACTGAGGCTGAGTTCCTTGACCAGATATTTGACTCACGATCTGACCGCTTAGACTTATCGGACCTGTGCTCACAGCCTGTCCCTTTGGTCGTTGTCTTGGTGTAACTGACGTACCCTCAACAGTAGTTACTGGAGTCGGTTTTGGTGTCTTCACTAATGATGATCTTTTCATATTTTCAGATTCCATAGGCGGACAAGGTAATGATTCCAGAACTGGTGTTTGAACTTTCTAAAAAAATAAAAGTATTTCATTACAAAATGCAATATGCACGATATGTCCACCATATGTCTAAACATAAATCTGCATTTTGCATTATATTTATAACATATTATACGAAAAATATAACAATTTCAAATTGAATTTAATAATAAATAATATAATAATATAAAATACATAATATAAAAAATATATAAAATAAATAATATAATAAAATATTCAAATATTTAATAAATAAGTACGTGCGCATTTACATACATGTAAATTCTGTACTGGACACTCTTTTCCCTGAATTTGGAATGCAATCACAGACACTTGATAAATATCGGGACGATTATCAGGATCTGGCTCGAGCATATAACGTATCAAACAATGAAGGCTTCTACTATATCTGTATGATGTAAAATAATTGTAATAGTTTTATTATGTAAGACGATCAAAAATAAAATGTATGAAAACAAAAAATATGAATGTATAAAACACAAACCTTGAATGATTTGGTATCGTAAAATTTCCCGATTGAATAGCAAGTGTGCTTTCTCCGAATGGTAATGTAAAGAAACAAAGTTTGTACAACAAACACCCCAATGCCTAAGGATTTATGAAATATTATTTGTTTATTGCTTCTTTCCGCGAGTAAATTGTTTAAATTTGAAATTCTTAATTTATTCTACCCATATATCTGCTTTCGTTGTAACAGGTTTTCCACAATACATATCAACCATTTCAGGTGCTCTATAACTGAGAGTCGTGTATTTTTTAATTTCTTCTTCGACTATCGCTGCTCCCTGTATACTGGGATTTAAAATTTTTGCTGTTGCAGAACCAAAGTCACATAATACATAATGGCCAGTATCAGAGTATAATATATTTTCAATCTGAAAAATATTTTAAGTAAATATTTAAAAAAGGATATTATAAAACTGCTACAGAATTATTGGCATAACTGACAAATATAGCATGTGATAGACACAAACCTTTAAATCTCTATGTATTATCGGTGTCTGACAATGATGCAGTCGAGATACAGCTTCACAAACATCACAAAATATTTGCAGAACTTCAGACTCGCTAAATCCAGTCTGTAACCTGTAAATAATTCAGTCGGTAAGTACTTGCGAATTTTCTTCTATATCTTATGTGATTGTTCAGACTTATTTAACACATTTTTTTAACCTATTGTTCATCATTTGTAAAACTTGAGATTTGCAGTAAGGCATTAAAAGTAAAAGTTCATGTACTCCTCCACCTATGTGAGTGATACTGCTATCCAAATATCCTATAATATTTTTATGACCATTCAAGTTACTCTGAAAATAAAAATACAAATGTAGCTTTACAGGTAGAAGCTAGATTCAATTCCTTTTATGCGAAAGAAAATTTTATTTCAGTTGAAAAAGTATATAAAACTTACTGCAATTTGTATCTCCCTTTTACATACATTGAGATCATGTTCGTTATTAACATACATGCGTTTAAGTGCATAACGTCCACTCGAAGATTTTACCAGGAATACAATGGCAAATCCTCCTGCAATGATATTATTACAGTATATAACTATGTAGTCATGATAGATTGCAGATATCAAACATTAATAGATGTTTTGATTAATAGATAATTGTAAAAATATATAACCTAAGCCAGACTATTGCTACAATATGATGTAAAATTCAATTGAATTTCTTATGACTAACTGGTTGTGCTTATCTACTCACAATCTCCTCTACATATCTAAAGATATCATATTTTTATTCAAGTATACACTTGATTAACTTTTATACAAATTAAAGGATCTGGTACAATAAAGTTTTCAAAGAAAACATATAAACATATAAAACAAGATTTTAAATTCACACTCACGTAATGTAAATATCATCAATAGATTCTCTATGTATATATAAATTAATATAAATGTAATGTAGAAGTTGAGTGTTCCAACTAAAATAGTTGGAATATCAAACAGTATATATACATTACTACTAATTATTCTTAGTTTAATACGGTTAATGTTCGGCGTTCATGTTCGATATCACATAATGAACTATACTGTTGTTTTCTATAAACGAGTTGTATATGGGAAGCATAAGATGATCGAACAGACGAATGAAATAGTGGAAAGGGGTGATGAGTATTCAAGGTTGATAATAAGACGCACCTTCGGCTAGAATGTCTTCGACAGTGACAGTGTAACGTCCCACCACAAAAACTTTTCCTATGTAACTGTTAGGCTCCTTCGACGTGTTTTCGATTTTTGAAAACAGCTTCTTCATATTGGCACACGTCGTCGGCCCCTTCAATGTTGAACTGAGTTGACATAAGGCCTCCTTTACTAAATTTTTTAATCTACAATATGGCGAGTTTGACTTTCTAAATCAATAATATTTATCGTATTCGTACCTTTCAACTTTTAAGTTACGATCAGTTTCGTAATAATTTAACAGCAATGAACTTAACGAAAGGAAATCGTTCCAGTCATGATAACAGTTAACGTATTTTACCCAGCCGACATATTCAGGCCGTAGAAACTGCGCATGCACCATTTTACACAACCTATATCGTAAACATATGTGCACGACTTCCGGTCGAATGTCAAAATTTCCTAATACTTTTATTGTTTATGTCAAATTGACATTTATTCGTATACATTTCTACGTACATTATTTGTTGTGCAGTGATATTTTAAATGAAAAATTCCGATCAACTCCGGTTAACCTAACATTTCATTTTTAATGTGTTCGTGATCGAAATCTTTAAACTTAATCAGCATCATCATGGCTCCAAAATACGTATGTACTTACTTACATATTGAGGCAGATGAAAGAAAAGCAGCACGAATAGTCGAACAACACGTCTTGAAAACTACATCGACACATTTATTTACGTATGTAAATATAGATACACGCAGTTTAAAGTCTTAACACGTACCTATGTTTTTTAGTACACTTCATATTTTATCTTTTGTAATTTGCTTACAATTATTGCAAATATATTAATAATAGATATGGTTATTTTTCATAAATTGATGTGAATTTAATGTTGATCGAAAGTGTAATTTGTTAATCGATAAATAATAACGAAATTATTTACAAATCTGTTCGTAATGAACACGGTACTCGATGAAGGTGATGAAAATAATGATCTAGTCGAAATGTTGTTAGAAAGTATATTTCCCAAATGTGAAGATGGAAATCATTTTGAGAATAATTACGAAATAAATGACATCGAATTAATCGATAACTTAAAACAGGAATCTGTTAAAGATCAAATAAGTGTACTACAAAATGAATGTCAAACCAAAGACGACTTTACGGAATATAGTATCGAAAATTGCTATGATATGCTAGAGTATAACAAACAAATAATCTCTTCTTTAATGGATTTAAAAAGCAACATAATCCTTGCTCTTACAAAATGTCAAAAAAAATTAGCAGTGATAGAATGTAATTTAAAAAAAAATATAGCCAAAGATACAAAAATTTCAATTTGCAATGCTGGCATGCCTTATTTTAAGGATAAACATTATTTTTTTGCTTCTAATAATGAAGATGAAATGTTGAAGGAAAGCTATAAAGAATTACAGCTCAAAAATCTTCCCAAAATTTCTGCATGGACTAAAAAGGAAAGAGATGTGCTTTTAGATGCGGTAAAAAAAGAAGCTGAAGGAGAAAAAGAATACAACAACAGGAAAAAGAAATTTTCATCTACAGATATTTTGGAAACAGTCAATCCATTACAACAAAAAGAATTTGATTGGTTTAAAATATCATCTAATTACTTTGAAGATGTCCATTCTCCATTTGATTGTCGTATCATGTGGAATGTTTTTCTTCACCCTAACATCAACAGGAAGCATTGGACGAAATCAGAAATTACTAAACTCAAGAGAATAGTACAAAAGTATGAATTTCAAAACTGGGACAAAATTGCCAAAGAGTTAAATACAAATCGTAGTGCGTATCAATGTCTTATCAGATATAATACAAGGAAAACATTACCTAAAGTCCATTGCATTTGGGAAAATGAAGAAGATAAAAGACTTTTGAAACTAGTAGAAATATTTCAAATTGGTGACTTTATTCCTTGGGGCAATGTAACTAGTTGGATGCAAAATAGAACTAAGCAGCAAGTTTATTTTCGATGGTCATACAGCTTATCACCATATTTAACTAAAGGCAGATTTACTAAAACTGAAGACGATATCTTGAAAGATGCTGTTACTAAATATGGTACTAACTTTCGTAAAATATCAGCTGCATTAATGCCTAATAGATCTACCATTCAACTTCATGATCGTTATCAAACATTAACCATTAACCAAATTGAAAGTTGGACTTCATGGACGCTTGAAGAAGATACAAAGTTACTTCATCTTTTTCAGTGCATTGGTCCAAATTGGTCTGTAATAGCTAAAAACTTTTCGTGCAAAACTAGGACTCAATTAAGACATAGATATACAGCTTTGCAAAAATACATTAAGAGAGGTGTTTCCATACTTGAACTGCATAAATATCGCTTAAAAAATAGAGTACAACATTCAGAAAATGAGAACAAGGAACAAAGAAAGGAAGAACTTTGTAAAAATATCTTCGAACCTAATAATAGTATTACCAATGAAGGTCATGATAATAATATTACGAATATAGATCAAGAACTAATTGACTATTTTCATAAAAAATGTAAAGCAGAATACTTGATACGTAAGTGGAAACTTCATGATGTGGAAAAGTTGAAACGTAAAACAATAAGCTTATATAATATTTTACAAGCATTGAATGCCAAACTCTGTATATCCAACAACATTATTGATAAAAAATTAAACAATAGAGATCAACAGCTTTTGCATTCATTAAGGGAATATATAAAACTAAAAAGTGATAAGAAAAAGTACTTTCAAATTGTAGAGGAGTATGAATCACGCATGTTTAAACGCAATGAGTCTGAACAAGATTCTTGTTTTTTACCTCCATGTCCTTTTGATTCGCAAATAAAATTGAAGAAATTAAAGAAGTGTATCGATTATGATATAGATAGAAGCAATAAATTTGTATTCGAACTACCTACAGACTTTAATACATCAGAGTTTATAATTCCTTACATCGGTGGTGATGAACAAGAGTTACAATTTCAAAAATTTGCTCGTTCCTTTCAAGTTAATAATCCAAAATGCTGTGAATCAGCCTTTGAAACTCGAAACTGTTCTACATTTTTAACAAAATTACTGTTACAACGTCGATGTCGTACCAATAATAGCAACGATAGAAACAATTCAACTGACAAAACATTAAAAAAATTGGAATCAGTCGTTCATTTCGACATTGGTACCACTGCATCTCATGAAAATGACGATGTCAATTACAAATCTCAGTATATGGAATTTCAAAGCAAATGTCTATCTAACGGTATGACAGAAATTACTCAAAACCATGAAACATCTATGATGTATGCTAGCTATGCAACCTTGATAAGTTTTAAGAACTTAACATATTTGAAACGATTAAATGAAAAGTATAGTTTTCTTGATGAATATTTTATACCATCAAGCGAATTACAAGCATTTAATTTATTAGAAACACGTTTAGAACAATTATTTAAGTACCCATTAGGTCTGTCAAATATCTCATTGCCACAAGTTTATGTAGAGGATACATTTTTGTTCGAAGACATTCCACCGAAAAAGAGACGTCTCAAATATTAGACACATTAGTGGAACATAAAACAAGGAAGTAACGAATATTAAGCGAGAATTTTAGGATATAATATAAGGATTCAGTTTAGGATATTAGACCATTTTTTATTTTAAGGGCGGAACAAAATTATATAACTTATAAAATCCATTTTATAAGTTTTACACTTCCAAATAAAAGCAACTTTCATTTCACTAAATTAAAGCACTACGTTAATTTTTGGGTAAATATTATTTTTCTCTGGCTTACGGTCTAATTTATGAGGATATTTCAGAAATTTCTGTTTTTATATTATTTAGACATATATTTTTATTTATAACTAAATCTATATGAAACTGCTACCATTAGGTTGATAACATTTTTCCTTAGTAAAAATGTGTGAAAAAAGATAGTAAATGGAATTAAAGTTAAGTGAATGTGAGCTTGATGTTTGGACACATTTCTATCGAAAGAAGCTTATTATACAATGGCTAAAGGAAGCGGCAGTCCTTTCTTTTATAGGGTCAAAGTATTTTTATGCAAAAGCTTAAACAATTACTAAAGGGAGCTTATAAATTTTAGATGCTACCTTCTGCAAATTTTTCGACATTTGTGGACTTTAACAATTTGTGTATCCCCATATATGAGATCGTACAGCCACTTGAATAGCGGCTCGTAGAAGCGACTGATAATGAGATATTCTTCTCCGTGTGAATCTTTATCTATCCCTATTATTAGTATTCATTCCTATAAACTGTAGCACACCAACATATATAATAAGTCGGAAATCTTTTTTAGAAAGAGATGAAACACGAAGAATATGAAGTGATTTTTACCCATACTTAGTAATTCAGGTAATTGTAAATTAGACTAACTGTCAGATGAATTAGAATAACAGGAAACATTTCATAATTGCACAAAAATCGGGACCCAAGTTTTGCAACTATGTAAAGGTAGAAACGATTTTCTTTCTGAAAACTGGGATCTTAGACGTGCCGAACATGGAAAAGAACAACTCGAATGAAAGATAACGAGGAACTGAGAATCGAAGTGTTTGGCAAATATTAAAGACCCGCGATAAGCTGAGATCTTTAACTCAAAAATCAGACGTTCTTATTTTTAATTTTGGTAAATGAAACTTTTACCAACATGTTTGTTACATTTTTCTGATTAAAATGGTACCAAACACGATATGATTTAGCGCATATTTGCTTATATTAATAAATGATAGTGATATAACAATAAATAAATATAATTCAAATTATATCGTGTTTGGTCTCATTTCTCAAAAATGATCTCAAGATCTCAAAAATACGGTAGTAAGAGTTGAATTTAAAAAATGTCGAAAATAAAAAAGTTCCGCTTTTGAATTAGTAGCTATATACATTGTCTCACCCATATCTAATATTAAATTATGTTATATTACTCGACCGTAGTTGGTAGTTGAACATTGTCTCACGGTTGGGGGGGAACCTCCCCTCTGTGATGGGCATGAAAACCATGCAATTAACGAGAGGTTCTTTCTCTGCAATTATCGCATATTTCCTGAATTATGTTTTTCTCTTAATCCTATGTCTTTATTATACTACATTAGTTATATTTCAATATATCGATTAATATACTGACCACAATGATATCAACATCTTTATGTATCTTCATGTAAAATAATTATATCTTTTAAGCATTTTACTTTATAAAAATCGTATTGTATTATACAAAATAAATGTTTATTAAAAGAAGGGAATCAATATTTCTTTCTTTTTTCAGGTCATTATACATCAGTAATAATTTCATGAAAATGTAATAAGAAATATAAAAATTCAAATATTAGTTGATGGCATAAATCTTTTATCGATCAAATTTTCGAAATGATTTCATTTACTTTTGTTGTAAT